GTATGTGAGGAGCAGGATTTTGAATTCAATTCTGGATTTAACAGGAAGCCAATGAAGGGAAGCCAAAACAGGAGAAATATGCTCTCTCTTTCTAGTCCCATTAGACCGGTCCGTGGCGCAAAAAAGGTTGGGGACTGCTGGTTCAAACTGTTGTAAATGACCCGTCGTCCTATAATCTGTGGAACATACAAAATCACCTTTTGGGACAATGGCATCAACACCAAAAATAGCTGGCTGTGTTTACAGCATGGCACCAGGGTTTCTAACAACTGATTCAGTTCACCCGAAGAAAAACATTAAAGAAGCATAATTACTTAGAAAAGAAGAAGAAGAAGCCACATTTAACGCAAAGGAGGAAAAGGGAGGAGAGATCGTGAACAATGTGTGAGCCAAGTTTGTTCCAGTTTCGAAGTGCTGTTTCTAGATGACAAACTAATCTTAAGGAAGTGTTGCTCACACTTCTCCTTTTCAGTCAGCCTCAATAATCTAGTGGAGATGTAGCGATTCCTAAAAATCGGTGTGAAACATGGATGTGTGAAAAAGTTTTTCACATGAGATCTTGCTGAAACACAGTAAAGTCGAAATAAAATCCAGGAGCAGATAACTCAACTAAAATAATGGAAATAGGTGACATATGCACATTTAAGCAGGTAACAAAAGGCACAAAACCAGCCGGACACCAGGCAGATACATAGATGATACTATAATAATAAGATAATACTAAAAGAAAAAAGCTGACAATACCAAATACTTGAAAAACAATACGGGATGTGACTCACTGCATTATGTTGAACTATTGGCTGATTTTTTAGCTTTGTGTTTTCCTTTATGTAACAGGTTTTTCATCATAAATTGATGCAGAAAATACATTTGATGGAGGACCTCTGCAGACCAGATAAATTAAACTGACACCTACCACCAGGGATAAAGCTTTTGTGCTGTGGATGTGGAAAGGACCCAAATGCAGACTTCTAATCAGGCAAAGTTAGTGTCACTACAGACAGGAGGACACAATCATCAATTCCCCAGGATTTACTTTCAAAGGTTTTAAGTTAAAAAAAAAAACATTTTAAAGCAACACTGTCACCCTTGACATCACAAAAAGCATTTTTCAAAAATAAAACTTTAATTATTTAATTTTTTAAAATTCCGTCATTAATCAGAGTCTCATTGGGTGAAAATATATTTGTTGAGAGGAATTAGAGCAATAAGCATTTATAAAAACATCAGATGATGGAAATAGAACAATAGTATAAATCCAGTATGAATAAACAGCTGCAAACATCATCCGCACAAAATCCAAGAGGAATCTACAGATTTCTGTAGACTGAGGTGTTTAAGGTTTATTTGAAAGGTTCAGATTACCTGAAACCAGCTCTGCCATGGTTACTGGACACTGTCTGTAGTTTTTAGATTTAAATGAAAGGTGGTAACTCTAGAGCAGGGGTGTCAAACTCAAATACACAGTGGGCCAAAATTCAAAACTGGAACAAAGTCGCGGGCTAACGTAAATATTTATTGAAATATATTTATTCCTCCAGATATAAGAATGAATCTTTTCTTATGGACTCAAACACGTTTTGCTGAAAAACTGAATATGGAACAAGCAAAGCTTAATACTAAACAATATATATATTAGCTGTATAATACCAGTAGGCCAGCTCTAATAGTAGTTTGGTATGGCTTCGCGGGCCAAACGTAATTAGGCTGCGGGCCAAATTTGGCCCACGGGCCAGAGTTTGACACCTATGCTCTAGAGGTAGAGCTTTCTAAAGAAATAAAGTGAGTGCTTCTAGAATTAGACATTAAAACTGTCACAGAAAATGTGCTAAAATGTAAATGTTTCAATGTTTTTCTTGTTTTGTTTCTATATTTCTGTATTTCATTATGTTACATGTCTGCATTAAAGTAAAATTTCAAAGTCAAGATAGCTGAATTTTACTGACATAATTTAGATGGAACTCTCAGTTCACACACTGTAAATGCATTAGAGGATGTAAAAAATAATATTAAAAGTTAATAGATAAACTATTAAAAACATCCAGCACAGAGTTAAATGGCACTACACAACTGTAACACACGCAGTAATAAATTACATTAAAGTAAAGCTACACAATCTTCAAAGAGGACCGCTTTTGTGAATATCAGTCTTTACTTTGGACATATCCTGACCTTAAATGCAGCACATGCACACACATATGCAGCCAGGGGAAGTATCTGTCTATATCTGTTGTGTCTTTTTGTGTGTCAAAAGGTCACATAATAGATGCAGAGGAAACTGGTCATAATAATGAGATAAAGTGATCCAACTGGATGGAATGAAGCAGCACTGAAGGTGAAATAAGTCCTCCATGAAACATCCGAGCCTGAAAAATATGAAAAATAATTAGTTTTTTTTAAACCTATAATATTATTTGCCTAGCTATATATTTATTAATACATATATTTGCTTTTATTTTCTGGTAGATTTGATTTAAATTGAAGAAATATTCCTCTGACTTAGTGTTACGCCTCCATAAATAAAAGATAGGCCAAAGGATGAATTTTAGTCCTTTAGTACAAATGTGTTTGGTATCAGGTCAATGTAAAAGTATATAGACTACCTGATATAGTTGCCTCAGAAAGAGACATCACCAAGTTGTTTTCAATCCTGAAGCTGTAGGTGTCACTGACTTGGACCGACAGCAGTGTGCTGAAGATGCTGAATATCCCCTCAGAGTTTTCTGTGAAAGTGGAGCTTCCATTCAGGATGTTCTCAGTTTGGTTTAACCATGAAACGCTTGGCTTAGGGAACCAACTGACTGCCTCAGCAGACAGGGTGCCATTTGAGAAGGTGAAAGTGGGCGCTGAAAAAGCTGATGTAATAAAAGAGGGAAGAAAAAAATCCTGAATTAATATTGCAATCAAGAGTGAAGCTTCACTCAGTACTCACATTACTCAGAACAGCACGTTGGTTAAAATTCCCAGCATTACAAAAACTAGAAATACCCTTATACCATCTTATTCCAATGTGTTGCAAACCATGCTGCTAATGAATGCCAATAAAGAATGTTTAGATAAACACACAATTAATCTTGAAGAGTGAGTCATCCTACCTGCTGTTCTGAGTTGAATGCTGACCTCTCCTCCACCTTTAGAGGAGCTGATGCTGCATGTGTACTTCCCCTCATCACTGCGTCTCACATTCCTCAGCAGCAGAGAGGCATTGCCTGTGACTACAGCCTGAGGGAAGAGCTGAGTTCTCCCACTGAACTGTGACGCCTGATTCGTCAGATCTGGAGCTCCATTCTGATAAAAGTAAACCAGGCCGTTCAGGTCCGTCTTCTTCCAGGTCACTGTCACTTTGTCTTGGGAAGTTTGTGTGTCAAGATAGCAGCTGAGCAGCTGATCCTCACCAAGGTTGGCGACAGGCTTTGTACTGCTGCTTATCACATTGGACTGGGGCTCTGTGGGATGTGGACATTTTATACACATATTATAGACTAGCACATTTGAATCAGTTCCAATTTGTTGACAACTTAATAACCGATTTAAATGATATTTAGTGAAAGTGTTGTTTGCTTTTGGCAGTTATAAAACTTTTAGCAGGAAGATTTTAAGGACAAGTTCACATTTTTCACATTCACATATCCTGAGAGAGAGAGAGATAGAGACTGTGATTTCAAGAGATAGTTCAAGCAAAGCTATGACTATTTAGGGGTCTGAGTTAGTAAAAGTGATTAAATTCTAAAGACACAGATAGATAGACTCTATGTAAAAGATGCTTCTAGCATACAGGTCTGAAAAACAAAGCCAGGGTGGAAATGTCCTATACCTGTCTTCTTTCTACTGACCAGCAGAGGGCAACCATTGTAGC